TCCTCCGCCTAAACCACCACCTGCACCACCTCCTCCACCAAGACCACCACCAGCACCTCCACCAAGACCACCTCCTCCGCCTAAACCACCACCTGCACCACCTCCTAAGCCACCACCACCACCACCTCCACCACCTAAGCCACCACCCGCCCCTCCACCTATACCACCACCAACACCAACACCACCACCAAAACCTAGACCTCCACCATGCTTAAACCCTTTCCTAAAAATACCATGTCCTAAACCCCCACCAAAACGATCACCAAAATGACGATGCTTAAATAAAAACTTCTCATCTTCAACTCCCCTATCACCAAACACCACATAACTTTCCACGACAAACACAAACAACAGAACTAAAACCCCAACACCACTGCCAAACAATAAACAACCCATTCTATACGACTCCCAACTCTTACAACACCCTATGTAACAAAAACAGAACACTATACTAATAATATCCAAGACATGCAAGAATGTTTACAAATAGGATCATATTATATAGTGCAAGAATATCACATGGTAGGTCCACTTAATAATTAGAACATAAGAAGTGAACTCAACTGTCACCTTCTAATTCAGTAAATGCTTCTGCTCTCTAATTGGGCACAAGATTTAATTCTTGCAACTGCCCCTCTCCCCCGCACACAACCACACTTTTTACAAAGTCACAAACACAAGCAGTGTTAATTTTCGTTGCTGCTTTTAAATTTGACTTTTACGTATCGCTTTCATTTATATAGATAGTACTCCTCTCGTCTATATTAAGTGAATTATCAATATGATCGATCATTTTTATGAAAAATATTTTACGGTACATGAATAAGCTATCACTATATAGTACTATTGCTTTTTTGATTATTTTAAAATTATTCCCATAGAAAATATGATGTAGTTAATATGAACCTTACTAAATAAAGGATAAATGTAGAAGTTCTGATAATTTTCTTGAATTTTAAATAGTTTACTTATTTTGAAATATATATATTAAAAAAAACTCAACAATTTACTAAATATGAAGTAGAGGGATCAGAGTATAATTTTTCATCGAAGCCGCCCTTGATATACATTGTGAAATACAGTTGTTTTAGCAAATTGACATGAGGAATGTTGTAATTTCTAGTTTTTTTTGGTATAGTTTTTCGATATCTAAATTTCTAACTATAAAATATTAAGTTGAATTAATCTAGATAAGATTGATTAATTTTTTTTCGAGAAGCGAAATATGTCAACGAATTTGAGATGAAGAGAAATACTTTTTTATGAATGCATGGTTATTTATAATTTCTTATACTACGGTCATATATAAGTTAAACTCAAATATCATACATGAAAAAAAAAAATCTTAAAACCTTACCCAAAATGTTAGGTTATAATTTATGAAAATATCCCTTTTTTTCAATCACCTTTTATAATATTTCAAAATTCGTACAAAATATAGCTCTTGAGACTAACGAAACATCAAATCGTCTACTAATATTTCAAAAATAAAAAAGATGATCATTTACTAAATAGCTTTAAGAGAGTGATAACCGATAAATTCCCCGAGTTATAAAATTAAATAATTAGTTGACTTGTGTACTAATTATTAAATCAAAGTAAAAAAACTTTTTCTTCTATGTATAGTGATGTTATCTTTGGGGTTGGGCTCTGTATCCCATTAATGGTGAAATTTAATCTACTTCCTACCAACAGCTTGTACAAATAGATAGCTATTTGTTTGAAAAAATCTTTGGTCTAAAAGTATCATGGCCTTTATGAATCATATTGACTTTTGTTCCTATCACCTCTTTTTATGTAATAGCATTGTTGTTATCGATTTGCGTATGTCTCGATTAATTTGTTATGTGGTTAATGTCATTTTATATAAGTACTATCACATGGATCGAGTAATTATGTCATTAAGGTTTAGATTGATAAAAAAGACTATTCACGTACGTTTGATATGTGATGGTATTATTTTTATCTATTTGTGTACGTTTTATCAAATTTATCATGTGATTATATATTATATCTTTGTATAAGTATTACTATATGAATTGAGTAACTCTTTCATCAAGATTTATATTAATGATGGAATATATTTAGGGATCGTCTGATACACAAAATGAAATAAGTAAGATTGTGATTTTCTATAAATTTATTGAATCATACCTTTTATATGGAATACTAGTCTCATTATTTTAGTACAAAGTAAATTAATTTTGTGATTAGCTAATATCTCAAATTGAATATGGGATAAAATTAGTTTCAGATATTATTATAAAATGTTTATCGGGCAATTTTATCACCAAAGTTTTAGCTAGATGAAAATAATTAATTCAGTATACATGTTGAATCTACATGAATTTTCACTGCTAAAAACACATTTTTTATGAAATTTCTGACTGCTCGTCTAATATGAAATAATTTTCACTGATTTTTATGTGTATCTTAATAAATCATCAAGCGTTTTAATATCTTTCACAATATACGTATTAAATAACTCTACCAAAAAATTTGGATTGATAAAAAATAATTTAAAATTTAATTGTTGTATTTATATATAATTTCAACATTATATTAATCAGAATTTCACTTTCAACACACTTGCCTTTTAATTTTCGCCAAAATAAAATTTAAATAACAATCAATTAAATTAAACGAATATAGGTTGGCATGCATCAGTTTATTTAATGAAGTGTTACTGGTTATTAACTATTTGTGCAGTCTGAATATTATCCAGCTTTGATGATATTTAATTTTTAAGTATAATAACAGAAATGATAAATAGCCAAATCTATATCTGAAGGTGGACGAAATATTAAATTACTCATTTCGTAGGGTTTTAAATATTATTAATAGAAGATATATTAATTATATTGCAACAATATGGCAAAAAGAATAAAATATATATAATTTTGAAAAGCTCTTCAATAAAGTATACGTGCATATTGTAATAAAAGAAAATGTTGGTTATGTTATAACTCATGTACTTTTTTGCTTTTTAACATGTTGAGTTATTATATTGAAATTACACTTTAATAGTATAATTGTTCAGATTAGTTAAAATTTTCGTTAAGAATATTCAAAATTTAATATATGAAAAATATTTTTTGTCGATATATTTTGTACCATTTTCTATAAATATTATATAATTTTTTGACGAAAGGTTTTTAATTTGGCCACTTGGACTATACGTGGCTATGCCACTGGTTGCAATCATATTGGTTGTAATATATGCGTTGTTATCACGCTCAGAATTATTTTTAAAAAATAAATAATCATGAGTAAATTAGTATAAGAATACTAAAAATTACATGAAAATCAATATGAAAATTTACAGAAAAATTCTATTAAACTTTCGTGTACGAATGAATATATAGATGCAATGCAAATATAGTTTACTATAGGTTTACGTAATGTGCTGGTTATATTAATCATACTTTGGGTATTCTTTTGAATATATTTCGATTAATTCATCGGATATTTATTTTTCTTTTATTAGTAAAAATAGAAAGTTATTTCTAATCATAAAACTAGATGGACTAGGGAGAAATTATGTTTATAGCTCTCTTTTTCTAATGTTTTATTTTTTAAAAGCTAAATAAACTTGTTATCTATACGACTCTTTTCTTTTTATTTTGCTAATCGGCCTTTTTATTTTTAGAAGTGTAATTACGTAGATTTTTCCAAGTTATTTTATTCTCAACCTTGTAAGTAACACTTCTTATCTTTCTCTTTAGTCGTCAGTATTATAAAGGACAAATATACATACAAATTATCGTAATTATGGTATGTCTATGTCCTCAGTCATATTTTTGGGACATTATTTCATTTTGAATTGCTCTGCCGGCCCATTTCCATAGTATTAATAATGTAAAATTAGTTTTTATTGGTCAGTATTCGTCATTGTAAATGAAAAATGGTTATAATTATGGAATTTTACAAGTAAAACTCCATGATAAAACCTGTGAAATTCAAAACTTCATGGTAAATTTTCAATTATAGAAAATTAAAAAATGGTTATTTATGAGTTTAACCCTCTGCGAGATATTCTAAGAGGTCATTTAGTTAGCAGATTAAATGATTATGATCGAAATTATAATCCCTAGACTGATAGAATGAAATAATCTCAAATTAGATGGATAAAATGGAATATCTCAAGATTATGTCCGAAAAAAATTTATACTGCATTTTATTGACATTACAAACTTATCTTGAGATAAAGTTAATCGTATAAATTTTATCTCAAACTTAATCCTCCAATATTATCAGACTTAATTATCTTGAGATAAAGCCCATTATCTCCCCAAGGTCCATTTCTCATGGGCCAAGAGCCCAACTTCATTTTGGGCCCAAAGCCCATTTCATCATCTGTATATCAAAACCCCTCTTATTTCACATTCCAGATAGCTCTGACGAACATATTCGATAAAACTTGATCCTTCAAGATGGAAAATGGCCATGAAGATCATGATGATACTCAAATTGAGGAAATCCCAGATGAATTTCAGTGCTGTGTTTGCCTGTAATCCAATCAAAATTTCATTTTTTTTTTGAAAAAAAATCACTTTGAAATGATTTCTTGAATTGTCTTGGATGTATGTAGATTGATTTGTTTTGTGTGTTGATTTTGTTTGTTTGTTTGTTTGTTTGTAGGGAACTTTTGTATAAACCAGTTGTGCTAGGTAAGTGTATGATGAATTGATTTGTTACTTTGATTTTAATGGTTTCTGTGAGATTGATTGATTTTCTTGGTTGTAGGGTGTGGCCACATTGCTTGTTTCTGGTGTATATTCAAAGCTATGAATACTTGGAGGGAATCAAACTGTCCCATTTGTCGACACCCATATCATCATTTTCCTAGTCTTTGTGGATTGATGCACTCTTTGCTTCTGAAGTTGTACCCTTTAGCTAGTGCAAGAAGGGTAAAACAAGTAGCAGGTGAAGTCTCTGCTGAATACCGATTATGAGTTGATCATGTTTTGGTTTTTGTTGAGCTCATAAGATTAGTACATTCACTGTTTTATGATATTTGAAAGTTTTGAGCTTTGTTTACACTAGTATTAAATCTGTGCGATGTGTGAAATATTAAAGAAACTTAATCATAGTGAATTATCTTCTTGTTTCTTTGAAGAATTCCCCAATGGTTGTGAGTTAATCATCTTTGGCTTTTTTGAACTCGTAAAATTAATACATTTGTTGTTTTAGGATTGTAGAAAGGTTTGAGCTTTGTTTACATGAGGGGGTAGAATCAGAATTTGGGTTCATTTGGTATAATTGTTGACATTGTACATGGTAGTAGCCCCTAAGAGAGGAAGTTTCAAGTACTTTGGGTAGTAATCCAAGGAAATGGAGGTATTATGATGATGAGACACGTCGTATTGAAGTGGGATGAATGAAATGGAGGCTCGGTTCCAGTATTTTGTGTGATAAGAATGTGCTACCAAGATTGAAAAGTAAGTTCTATAGTGTGGTGGTTAGACCGATTATGTTCTATGGGGTAAAGAGTTGGTCAGCCACGAATGCCCATCCAAAATATAGAAGTAGAAGAAATGAGTATGTTGAAAAGGATGTGTGAACATATTAGGAGAGACAAAAGTAGGAATGAAGATATTGAGAACAAGGTGGGAGTGGCCACCGTGGTGGATAAGATGCGGGAAGAAAGACTGAAATGGTTCAGGCATGTGTAGAGGAGATGCATATAATATCCTAATGAGGAGGTGTGAGAGGTGCCTGAGGAGAGGCAGAGGTAGACTAAAGAAGTATTTGTGTGTGTGTTGGGGGGGGGTGATTAGGCAGAACTTGACACAACTTTAGCTTACTGAGGACATAACCTTTGATAGGAGGATGTGGATGTCATGTATTAGGTTAGAGAGTTAGATTGCTGAGCGTATTAGGAGTATTAGTATTATTTTTTAAGTTGCTTATCCTTAGATCTTTATTATTATCTGTTTGTTTCTTTCACTTCATTTATCTTAGTACATTTGATGTTGTTACTGTCTGTGATTACTGCTTCTTTTTCATCTCTATTTGAGCAGATGGTTTATCGAAAGCAACCTCCCTACCATTACAAAGTATGGGTAAGGTCTGCGTACGCAGTACGCTCCCCAACCTCACTTGTGGGATGCGATTATGCTGGGGTTGTTGTTGTTGTTGTATATGGTAGAAGCAACATACATGTATTTACTATCAAGTCCTTAATTGATTCATTGTTGGACACTTATGAGGATGAAAATAATCTAATATTGTTTTTCAACATTTCTACATTTGGCAAAGTTCTCTCTCTCCCATTTGACTGTCAAAGTTACTAGTGCAGGGTCAGACACCTTTTTCTATATTTTATTATGTAAATTCTGTGCATACTAGTTTTTTCCCTAAGAAGTCAATGAGTAGACGTCCACTCTCAACCTGAGAGCTTGATGCTTGACTATTGTACTAGGAATTGTGCTTTTGGATGTAGTATGATTATCTGGTGATCTTTTCTTATCCCTGGAAGTGTTTAAGATTCTAACTCTAAAGTTTACTGATGTCTTTCTTTTTCCTTATTGCAGAGGAGGAGAAAGAAGTAGGATCTTGCTCACCTGAGTTTGATGATGATTTATCAGAATCCGGCTGCAAGACAGATCATGTTCCGGACACTGCTTCACCTCATTCTGTCTCGTTGCAGAAATGTGGTTCAGTGGGAGAAGGAGATCATTCCTCCGTAGATGTTTCATTAGATACAGTTGTTCCTGCAACATCGAGTTCCGAAATCAGTAAGGACGCAATATCAAAGAATCTTAACTTTGCAGATGAACATACCAGTGCAAGTGAAAAGCAGGTGCTTATGACAGATTTGCTTTGTGGTATCTGCGAGCTATTGTTATGCAAACCTGTTGTTCTTAATTGTGGCCATGGTCAGTTCAACTTCCTCCAACTATTATGTTGATGGCTTTAAGTTTCCATTTTCCTTCTCTTATTATGCTGCTTTTCCTTTTGTAGTTTATTGTGAAAATTGTGTGATCAATCCTAGCGACAAGCTTTGTAGATGTCCAGTTTGCCAACTGGAGCATCCAAATGGATTCCCCAACGTTTGTTTGATTCTTGAGCACTACCTGGAGGAGCAATTCCCGAAGTTGTATGGCGAAAGGATAAGGGCATCAGTGGAAAGATCTGATTGTCAGATTCCATCAAAACGTATGTTGATACTTCCTTCTCCATATATAAACCATACCAATAGTGTCTCTACACCATTTTTTCTTAAATATCGTAATATGATATTGATTTGACACATGCACAATTTTATGCTCATCTTTTATGTAAATACACAATCCACATACAATCCATCTCAAGTTCCAATGATATTTAAAATTTAGTGGCTACAATCTCTTGTGCATTTTTGTAACTCGGCATTATTTACAAGTGCGGATTTGATTCAGTTCATTCCAGATCTTTCAGGATGGCCACCTTGAGGCATTTGACTTCTTTAAGTAGCTAATGCTAATTCACTATACTGGACTAAGTGGTGTCAATTTGTTATCTTCTTTTTGCACTGGATTTTTTATATGATTTACTTGAGAGTTGAGCCGAGGGTCTATCAAAACAACATCTCTACCTTCTCAAGGTAGGGGTAAGGCTTACACACTACCCTCCCCTGACCTCTCTTTGAGAATCACTCGGTAAGATGTTGTTGTAAGAATCCATAGACTGTATATTTGGATTAACTTAGGCCTTTTTTCTTTTTATGAAGTAAAATTTAATTGTTGTTGGTACGCTTAAGTGAGAATTGGAAAGCCTCTAATTTTAGAGAGCCCCTAAATCTTGTAAGGCAAATTGTTTAGCAATATTGGATGAAATAGGTCTATGTAGAGCAGAAAATATAGAGGATTCATATTGCCTATACCAACTAGTTTGAGATTTGAGTATATCTGATAAGGTATTCTCCTCTGATCATTTTTCATTTTAAAATAGAGATGTACAGTTGGGAATTTTCGTCCGTTAAGATTTCATCATTAACGAGATTTTAGTTGTTCCCTTAATTGTTCCTTTCTCGTAGTGAATACATTCCAGCCAACTAAAGAGATCAGAATGTAGGAATTACAAGTTATATAAACACCAAGTTTCCCTTGGATTATTGTCATTAACAATCATTTAACTTGAGAGCATGTCCCATGCATTCAGCATTTTCTGTTGTATGCTTGAAATATCGGAAAGAAAGAATAAGGGGTCAGAGCAGATAAAGGCGGAAGTTTGAAAGAGGATTTAAAGAATATTGAGTGCACACCCGTCGAGGTGTGGCCCTTCCCCAGACCCTGCTAACACATGATGCTTTGTGCACAGGGCTGCGCTTTATGTCATAATGGTGACTCACCTAGTCAAAGATTTTATTGTTATTAGTGTAGCAAAGGAATTCCATGATGGAGTATGGAAAAGAGAAATCCTTCTCTAGTTGGTCGTTCTAGGTACATGCACCACCAGTTCTAGAACCTCCTGCTCTCAATGGTTAATAGTTAAATAATACTCATCTTTTCTTGTGAGGGGTGGGATGGGGGAGATATGTTAGTGCACACTTATTTTATAAACCAATTTAGCAAGCATCGGATGCTAAAGCAGTGTAATGAAGCATTTGGCAGTATCCTTCGGAATTAGAACTGTTTGTCATATTGCCTTGATTCAGCTCTTATTGGGCTTCTATCACAAGATCCTATCTGGTATGACAGGAAATCGGGACGAAGCTGCTGGCTGCAAATCAGTGCCTGGATTTGATCTTTCATCATGGTTAACGGGTGGAGGACCACAGGTTCATTTTGGAGTTGGTTGTGATTATTGTGGGGTAAGATTGATTGCTCTTCTCATTTTTCTCCCAGTTGTCCTAGTTGTGTGTACTTCTATCTCTTTACAGGAACAAGTTCGTAGGGCCTACAAGAGGCTGCTGGATTGTTACTGACTATTTAGTTGATTTTGCAGCTTAAACCTTAAAAGTTAATAGTTTTCTCTGGTGCTCACTTGAACTTGTTTCAGATACTATAAAATTGAGAGGCCAATACATTAGAGCACATTGTTTCTTGTAGTTACTGAATGGTTGTTTCACAAGAGGCATCAATTTTCTACAGTAGTAATGATTATTTTCAGCATTTTAACTGCATTGGAAGATTAATACTAATTTGATAATGGTAACATTCTGTATATTAACAAGTATACTATACCAACTGTATAGTCCCCTAAGTCGTACAATTACAAAATAGCTTTCTTTGTTTCTTCTTACATATTGTCTAGGACATCAAAGATATCTTCAGTTTGTACTTAACATTTCTGTTTACACAAAAAATAGTAAAGAGCTAAGCAATTCATCTTCTGCTTCTGAATGTTGCGCAGTAAACACCTCTGATTTCTCTCTCCATCTCTCCCTTTGTTTGGACAAAGACCCTTCTCTGCCCCAACTGTCTAGTACCTCTGTCGGGTTTCTTGGCATCACCCACTTGATTCCCCTCAGGTTAATGAATATTTTCCAGTTCTTATCTGTGCATTTGCAGCATAAAAAGAGACGATTAGCTGTCTCTGCCCCTTCATAAATAACATCCAGAGCATAAGTTAAATCCTTCTCAACTTATCCTGTGTCAGCGGTGCTTCTTCGGCCACAAGCCAAGAGAAGCAAGCGACTTTCAATGGATCTTCACTTTCATCATCATTTCCATGGCCAACAGCCCACTTGATTATTAACTTATCTCAAAATCTTGTAAGCCTCTTTCAGCTTAAAAGTTTCTTGATTCTTTCCCAGTCAAACCATAACATCCCCATTTCCCTTAGTACCCTTAAACTCAGTTATCCTCCCCGTGTCTCAATCATTTAGGAATCTTGTAAAAGTCGGATTCCATTCTTGTTTAGACCATCTTCAGCCACTATTGCCTTCTGTTGTTGAATAAAACAAAGAAAGAAGATGTATTCCCCACTTTTGCTCTTGCTTTGCTCATCATCTTTCATTCAATCAAAACAAATGACTTGGTTGTGGGTATTCTTTGACAGGATTTGAAAGATAGGAATGTTAAGTGTGTCAAAAATAAAATGAGAATATGAAGTTTCTTGCTCTACATAACATGCTTTTTGTGTAGGTTTTTTTTAATGAAAGTGATGTGTCACGACATATGCTGTAGTTGCAGGAAATTAATTCTTCTTGGATTGAAATCTGAACTTGTCTAAAACTAATGATAAGAAATAACTGAAAACCAAGAATGTATCGAGTTAAAGATGTGAACTTTTCAAGAAGTTAGTGCAAGTTCATCACTATTAAAATGATGACTAGCCTACATTAAACCACCTTGATATTAGTCTCTTCAATAGTAGAAAAAACCGTAGTTTCAGTTATATGGTTTGAGTTGGAAGTTTCCAGTTGAAAACCACACCAAGTACTATAGGAATTACAAGGGTAATCCCCTGGTGTGTCCCTTTTTAGAAATTGGACAGCCTAAAAGTCATACAGTATATCTATGAAGGAAGTCAAATAGCAAGTGAAGTTCTTTTCTGCAGATGTGTCCTATCGTTGGGGAGCGATTCAAATGCAAAGACTGCACGGAGAAAATAGGCTTTGACCTTTGTGAAGGATGTTATAAAAGCTCGTCAAAGCTCCCGGGCAGATTTAACCAGCAACACACTCCAGAACACCAATTTGAGTTAATACAGGCACTTCAAGTGAGAAATGTTGTACTGAGGGTTCAACCTGAACGATTAGAAGGGGACAACTCCGATTTCCAACTTGAATACGGAGAGCCAAGGCCCCTTGAGCTGCTGCCCCTGGAAGAAGATTCCTCAGAGACCAACTCACCTCGAGACAATCTAAGAGACGGTCAAGGGGGGAACATATCCTCAAATGGTACTGGAGACAACGACGGAGGGAGAGAATCTGGAGACACAGATTAGGTAAACGTTACTTTGACAGTTGTGGTCACTATCTCAATCAGACCTCTGTGAATTAGGAATGAAGGCCCTAACGACCCATATGTGAATGGCTTCTCTGGTCCTACTCTTAGTGGGATTTCACAGGGAATATTGTTCTTGTTGTTATATACTGTACAGCTTTATATCGAGTATCAAAGTTACTACGCGGTTGGACCTTTGTACATTGTATTCATATAATAATCGAAAAGAGAGTTATGCTTCATGCAATCTATTTGAAAGAGAAGATCTGATTCTTTATAAATGATTTACTGCTGTTTGAGTTTCTTGTGTTCTAGACATGGCATCTGTATGCAACCTTAGTTACAACAGCTATGCCTCTGTTGTTTGGGGTCGGCTATATGAATCCTCAGTGTTATCTATCTAGCCCTGCTTTGTTAACCGGAAACCTCTAATTTGTTGTTTACAAGGTAAGAACACATCGAGAGCCAATTGAGTCGATCAGAATGTTCTTGTATCATATTCCCAAGAATCAAATCGTACCATGATCAAAAGTGAGAAGTATTTTTTTCATTCTAAATCAAATATTTCAAATTTGAGTCTTTCGAATTACTTTATTAAAAGGTGTTAGCCTAATCATTAGGATTAAGGTTACTACTACTAATCACTAGTAGTAAAAGAAAAAGGGTAGGGAGACAAAAAGCTAATCCTTGAAATTAGTTAAAGGAGTTAATAATTGTCCTAATTACATAAATATTACCAAAACCAATTAGCTTTATCACACGAGTGGTAGTACGGCCCTTAATTACTTGTGACACATAATTAATCTGGTAATCAATCACTCATACTTTGTGTTTAGTGCCACACACTTTACTATATTGTGTCTGCAAAGGTAGGGCATTCAAAAATTACCCCCCCCAACCCCAACCCCCAAAACCCACCACCACCACCACAAATATTATTTGAATTTAATTTTACTCTTAGATACAATTGAGATCAAGCTAGACATGAAGCGGTTTTTCAGCTTGTTGAGGACGTGACACTAGATAAAGTATTGGTAGAGGTATTCAGACTTCACTTATAAAATTATACAGAGTATGTTGTTGGTATCTTACTATTAATTTTGTCACTACTATAATTGTTCTATTTGAGTTATCTTTACTACTTTTACTTACTATTTTTACTGTTATATTGGGTATAACTCCTCAATACGTCAACACTATCGTTCCACAAAAATCAAGGCAAACACAAGATAATTTGCTAGCAATACGAATATCAACATATTCAAAGTAGAACAATGAGTAAATATTACGATATTTCGTATTAATAGAGGGGTAATTTTGATCTTTTTCCGTAATAAAGCGACTGAAAGTACTAATTTTTGAAAATGTAGGGTGTGTAAATTGAGTAGTGCAAATTTTAGAGGGATTCAAAACGAATTTCACTAATATTTTAGGTTAAGGCACAAAGCACGAGATTCTCCCATTATTGGCGCGTGTTAAAAAATATTGAATTGACACCACTGGTGCGTGTAATAAACGCGAACACGGCCACCGGCGCGTGGGATAAAAAGCTTTTGTCTCGTAGTTTAGCGGGAATTCTTTGAAATGGCGAATATTCCTTTTATATATTCGCGGCAAATTTTTGACCTCTAATTAATTAAATAGATTTCCTATTTAGTTTTTTTTTTTTCGGTGTTCGTTATCTGCATTGGAGTCGGATTGTTTTAATTTGCACCGTGTAGGGATTCATTCAGATTGAATACTTCTTATCAATTTTGTTTTTCATATTTAAGGCTCGAATTTGAGACTTGTGATTATGAAGAAACGACCACTTTTACTGCAATACGTTCTTTGATGGTAGTTCTAATTATTGAATAATATGGATGGATTTCATCTTATCTTGATTTAAACTGAGAGTTATAATGTTAATTAGTTTTATTTATTTATGTTTGATGAGGATTTAAGAATGTTCTTTTTCTAATTACTTGATTAACAAAAATTAAGGAAAATTATAGAGAATTTAAAAGTTGGGAACCTCACAAAATTGTTTCCCAAAAAGACTGTATACGTGTATGCATATTTAGACAATAACAAGCTAAGTTAATTAGGCATTTTGGTTTGAATAATGAAATTGATAATAAGTCGGTTGATATTTTGATTTTAAAAAATGTATCGGCAAATTAGATTAGTTTGATTTGAAGAATCAATTTTGAGGAGGTTCATGGGTGGTTAGACCGATTATGTTGTATGAGTTGGAGCGTTATTTAGTCAAAAAGTCTCACGTTGATCATAAGATGAAAGTAGAGGAAATAAGGATGTTGAGGTGAATGTATCAGTATATATAAGGAGAGATAAGAACAAAGATATTAGCGGGAACAAGGTGGAGTGACCTCTGTTGTGGACAAGATTAGGAAAGCAAGAATAAGGAGGTTTGAGCATGTAAAGAGGAGAAGAGTAGATGCCCTAGTAAGGAAGTGTGAGAGGTTTACAATGACGGGTGTTAAAGAGAGGTAGAGGCCGCCCAAAGTATTGAGGCGAGGTGATTTAAGAGGTCATGACACATCTTGAACATGCTGAGAACATGTTCTTAGATATGATGATTTTGAGGACTTAGAGTAGAATAGATGTTTAGTTGGTAGTTTAAACATATCTCGCTTTCATGCGGGATATGCATGGTGATCGTACTTGTACTGCCTTTTTTATAAGTATTAAACTCTTTATATGATATGTTTAAGGCGATAAAAAAAATAAAAATACTTTGATACATATATACATTTAAAGTTTATATCATAAATACTTTTTAAAATCCAGTATCAATTAAAACTATATAAATTGAAACGGAAGTATAATAATAGCTAAGTTACATAAAAACAATCAAGAATACTAATTTGAAGTTGACAGCCAAACATTATGCTTGTTGATTTGTTAAGGAAACACAAAATATATTTTGGTTGTTTCACCAACTTTCAACTAAAATTAACTATTGAAGGGAAAATTCTTTTTTAAGATTATACTAAATTTGTTGTTTGTTATTATTTTTTAGATAAACTGTTATTTTAATTAATAATAGAATTTGTAAAAACAAAGCTTAATTATTGTAGTCAGTCTTTTATAATACGTATATGAGTTCTAACGTTGGCATCAAGCCTGATTGGGAGTAGCTAGGTTAGCGTCAAATTCAAGGATGATTATCTTGTTGAAACAAAAAGAATTAACGTCTTTAATTCTGATTCAACCACGTATCACAATCTAATTCGTCTATTTGTAAAGCGCTATTTTTGCCTCCTACATTATTATTTCAATTGTCCAACTTAATTTAAAAAAATATAGTGCTTATCTCCTTTTACTCCAACATTCCAAATTAACAAATATAATTACTTTGTTTTGCATTAGTTTAAGCATATGATGAATCAGTCTCTAGCAAAATCAATTCACGTTATATCACTTGAAATAAGTTACACAAAACTTTTGAAATAAAATAATACTGATTTTAACTAATATTTCTAACTAAAAACGAAATAATCAAATTTAATCTAAAACTCATATCGAAATAATACATAATTCCTTGAATCAGATGACCCTCAAATCAATGGTTGAATCAACCAATACAATCGATGCAGTAAACCAAATAAGATTGTCGTTTAAAAATAGTCAGTTGAACATTATTTATAACGAGATAAACTGAAGTGTGTATATATATATATATATATATATATTTTATATGAAGAATGACTTGTGAAGCAAGCATGATATATATATATAACAAGGGACCATTTCTGCTTTAGTTGATAAAAAATCAAAGCCATTTATAGCCTTCTTTCATACTCTTTGTTTCTTCAAAAGTTTGGACATTTCTATTTAATGACTTAATAGTGAGTGACACATATGCAAATATTTCCTACTTGTCATTATATTTATTTGTACATAATTTATTTATATTATATACTACGTTCGTTCACTTTTAATTGTCATAAATTTTTTTTTTAGAGTCAAATAATAAGTAGTTTGATTAACATTTGACAGTGTTTTCTTTCACCATATTAATATGCAAAAAATTATAATTTATAATATTTTTCGTATAATTTTTTAATGTCTAATTTTTTTAATCTAAAATATCTAATTTCACCTTTGAAAATTAGTTAATTTGATTTTTAAAAAACGAACGTCGAAATAAAAGTTTTCTTAGGGAGTATATATAGACAGTAGGATTTATATGTACACATATGACATATATATACACATATGTAATATACACAGTATATATTATTATTTTTATTATACATTGTAGTCAATCTTTTCCTCCAACTTCAAAATTAACCTTCTTACAAAATTATGAAAAAATTAGTTCAAACTATTATTTTATTTGAATTTTTTTTATAATTAGAGTTTTATTTCTAGTAAAAAAAAACCCATCGATAACGTACTCTCGATTTGACCTAACACATCAAGTCGATATTTTGATATTATCGCCACGAAAAAGAGCATTTGAATACTAGAATACAAAATGAAACTAGCTATAATATTAAAGGGTAGTCGGATTAGTCGGATTTTAACACCAACTTATTAATTTTCTTTTTAGCTTATCATAACATCGTGAATAGGAGTGTTCTCTCTTAATTAGAGGTTCTGATATCGAATTTTGATAAATATGAAATATTTTTTGATAAGGATCACTTTTCTTCGAAAGAGATTTTAATGGCGATAATAAAAATTTGAACTTCGATGCAATTATCGAACAAATAGAAAGAGAGGAGAGGGGTGAAAAGAAAATATAAAGAAGTTTGAGGGTGTGAAATGCATATTATTGGCGCGTGGATACACCGCCTAGTTGCGTGTGGAAATATAAAATGTTTAAAAAATAAAAATAATAGAAAATGCATTTCCACGTGGCCAATGAATGAAGGAATCCAATGCTGCACTGTTTTGCGAGTCTTTAAATGTCGGCTACAACTCATATCGTCTCACGAGTTATTCAAAAATATTATATCGCATGACCAAACGTCTACTAATTCTTATAAAATTTTATTAAAGTAATTATTGTTCGTAAAAAAGGTATCGAAATATCTTGAAAATTGAATAAAATTTATAGTTAAAATAACATAGAACAACTAAGATTTTTCTATCAACGCGTTTATATAAAATTCATATTAAATAATATCAAACAGTTGAAATTAATGTTTTCGTTGAACGCTTGTAAAAGATTAATATTAGATAATACGAAACAGTTAAGATTAAATTTTTTCTTGACGTGATTATATTAAGTTCAACGTTTGACAAAATTCACTGCACTAATTTAATTTAGTTTATCAGTTCGGTAGAAAATAAATGTGAAAGTAACTCCGATGAGGAAAAAAAGAACTTTTGATACAAAAATTTCAAAATTATTAAATATTAAATATTAAAGTCTCTTTTGACGAACTTATTTCAATTTTCAACATTTTAATAAAATTACACCTAACAAATCGGTAAAAAATAAATGTGTAATAAATCTGATACGAGAAAACAAATCACTTTTTTATTTTTATCAAAAATCACTTTGAGAATTTATATAATTAAAAATCTCTTAAAAATAACAAGAAATAATCATTATATTATAAATACATAATTTAATTACTATAAAATATAAAATGTTAATATGAGTAATATAAAATTTTATGTTTAAATCTTTAATGTCAGTATAAATATCAAATATTTAATAATTAATAAATAAAATCACAAAGAAAAATCTTTTAAGAATGTTGCGAGTGAATAAAGCTACTCCTACACTAATAGAGATCTTGAATTTAAACTCTAAATATTAAAAGAATCTTTAATTAAAAGTATTTCTTTCTAAATAAAATCTTACACGAGATAAATTTAAAATAGCTGAGCTCTAAAACGAATATCTACATACACAAAAACCTCATGTAACGATAATCCAAAATAATCTAACTTTAATATTAATATACAAAAGCATTGGGTAAGACCTACACAATATAAAATAATCGAAGGTGATAAATTGAATATGTCATGAGATAATTAAAGGGGGGAAAAGTACACATAAAAGTCCCCACCCTCCCCTGTTTTTTCCCCTTCTTCCTCTGTTCTAAAAAGGTCACTACTATATATTCATCTCTTCCCCAATTTTTTCCCTCATTCTAACCAACAACTGCATACCCTTTTCTCTAACCAACAACTGATTCCTCTCTCTTTCTCTCTCTCTCATTCTCTGTTGAATTTTCTGTTTTGGGGTTTTTTCTTTTTTTTTCTCTGCAAGAATCTCCATGGGAGGAGCTTAACTATAAGAAAATAGAAAAAGAAGTGAAAGATTTGATTGTTTGTGAGTTTCTGACAAATGGGGAAGTACATAAGGAAGACAAGAAAAACAGAGGATGTATCACCTCTTGGTGTTCTTACAAGGGCTAAAGCTTTAGCTCTTAACGGCGGTGATGGTGGGTCGTATCTAGAGCTTAGGAGTAGGAGGCTGGTCAAACCCTTTACGGTTCTTGAAGGGAGAAGACAGAAGAATGGTGTTCCCAAAAATCCCAATTTGGTAAACCCTAACCCTAATCAACAAATCCCTAATGTTTGTGTGAATTCTGAAGAGGGAAAGGGTGTTAAGGAAATGGAAAATCAGAAGGAGAAGGAGAAGAGCTGCTTGGGTCCTGAAGATTCATTTGGAGAAAACTTGCTGGAATTTGAAGGTAGAAAAAGGTGAGTTTTTTCTGGTTTTATCAGAAAATCTTTTGTTAGTTTGCATGTTTATCATACTCTGTGAAAGATTAGAGCTTTTGCTTTGAGTTAGAAAAAATCCCCTCCCTTTTGCTGTTTCTGTTCTGTGTTTTTGCTTGTCATGACTGATTTTTATTATGTATTGAAGAGAATATATAAAGTTTAGCTCTTTTAGTATATCTTGTTTATAGATTGTTCAGAAATGTAAGTTTCTGGTATGATTTTTGGTGTTTGGGTTATGAAAAGTCCAGCTTTTTCTTGATTTGAAAGCTTTGTCTTTCTTGTTTAGAATGGAAATTTTTTTATCTGGCTGGTTTTCAAGTTTTTTCTCTTGCAGACAAATGGAAATTTGTGGTCTTGATATTAGTTCAAGTTTAAGGTTTGGTTCTTTAGGATAAAGGTGGTGTTTGTTGATTAATCATTTGTGTATGGATTTTCTTGGTTTCTGGTTATCCTTTTTGTGTTGATTTTGATTGAAAGAAGAAAATGCAGACAAATGGAAATTTGTGTTCTTGATATTAGTTCAAGTTTAAGGTTTGGTTCTTTCATTCTTGGATTTGGTGCCTGCTTTTCTTGTAGAGGTCACTTTTCCACACACCTTTTTATTCCTAATTCCTTCTGTTTAAAGTTCCTTTTTTTGGGAGTACAGAAATTTGGTGCATATATATGAAAAGTAGATTCATGATATTGAATAGTTAATTTTTATTGACAAAGTATAGGTTATCCCTTATTAAGGTCCCCCCAACTCAATCAACTAAAAAAAGAAAAGCTTTAACTAGCAGAGTCTGCTATACTGGTTTATCCCTTTTAAGAGGGGTGCTTTATGGCTCTGCATTTGGTTATCGAATCGCTGTTAGATGGTGGAATAAGAACTTTATGGCTGTTTTCTCAAGATCGGTTCGTTGATGTGGTCATATGGTTCTAATGTATTGCTGAATGTTGTTTTAAGAAGTGAATGTTGTTGTATTTGTCTTAGATATGCGCCTTTGGTATCTGGTTGGACCATGTGGTAGAAGTATGATAGTTGTATGAAGTATTTCTTGTACTAATAGATTGGTACTCTATTGTTTAGTTGGTCAGTTTCAATAGTTAGTGCACTTTCGAGTTCTCGATGCCTTTTTTAGCTTCCACACTTTGGCACCATACTCACCTAACACCATATCCTAATTTAGTTCTATTGCTGTAACATTTTTTTTGTGTTTGATATGGTGGATGAAGTAAAGCTAATTGGATGAACTTTGATGATTCTGCCTAATTTAACAAAAGAACTGTAAAAATGGTTGTACTACCTCTTTAGATTTGCCTTTCCAACACCATACTTAGTGGGGTGGGGTGAATGCAGACCACACACCTTTCTTGAGGGGTAGAGAGAGAGAGACTGTTTTCGATAGACCCTCCCAGATTTGCCGTTCTATAGTACATTTATGATCGTTGAGACTTTCATGGTGAAAAAAGTTGTTTTGTCTGGAACTACATGATGCATGCATATTGGTACCTTTCTGCCTTAAATTTGCAAAGTTGCAATGATTGTTGAGAGCCATTTACCTTTAAAAATGAACGCGGGGTCCCTCTATGATTGAAGTTATAGATGGATAAGACAATAAGGGCAAGAAAGCTTTTTGACAGCCACTAAATGATTTGCCTTTATTCAGTTATCTCTGAATATTTTTGTTGTCATGAGTTATATGTATAGCCTAGGCGATTCTGAATTTACCTTACTACTGATTAAGATCTTGAAACGTAAAACTTTCGAATAGCACTATAGAGTTTCCCTTTGCTCTTTCTTACAGGACCACCAGGGAGAGCACACCTTGCAGTTTGATAAGGGATTCAGACAACATTCAGACCCCTGGTTCCAGTACTAGGCGTACTAATGCAAATGAGGCCAACGGCAGAGTACCAAACTCGATTCAACCAACTATCCCAACAGATCTTGAAATGGAAGAGTTTTTTACCCGTGCAGAAAAGGAGCAGCAGAGAAAATTCATCGAGAAGTACGTATTTACACATTGTATACATGTTATTTCTATCTCCCCCGCCCAACTGTCATCATATCTTTAATCATGACCTTGTTTTGTGGAACCATTTGCAGGTACAACTTTGATCCAGTGAACGAGAAGCCCCTTCCCGGACGTTACGAATGGGTGAAAGTAAACCATTAGACATGGACATAAAGGAGAGGGGAGGTTACAAATTACAACATTCCGTCGGCCTCGTTTCATCTCTAGACTTTAGACAAAGATAGGAAACCATAGCATGTAAGTTTTAGTTTTACAACTGGTGTTGTGAGTGGTGAAACCTCTATTTCCCCTCACTCTCTGACTTGTAAAGTCTTTTAGAAGGTTAGACTAATATGATCTGTGTAACATAACAGTTGCTTTGTGACATTAAAACAACAGATACCATTGACTCTAACAGATCATGCTGAAAAGGGAAAAAAGAAGCAAGGGTTGTTGTGTTAGTAGTAGTAGTGGTGGTGGTGGTGGTACAAAAGGGGGTAGTAAGGTGATCTGCTAATCTTTGTTGTTATGTTGATAAATTGTACTGATGGAAAACTTGGTTTTAGAATAAATTGACCCTCAAAAAGTGTTTCTTTTTCCCTATTATTTCTGATTTGATGAATGTATGGTTGGATTTTGTCATATTCCTATAAACATGTGAGACATACAAGTCTGTTCATCAACCACAAGTTGTTGCTGTCTTTTCACTGTTGAGATGAGACATATTTTTTAGCTGCTTGTGAAAATTTGTATTGTTGTGGGGTTGCTTTGGTTAGTGGGCATGTATTTGAAAAGATTCTCAAAAAAAAAAGAAGAAGAAAAAAACCATCATCATGAGTTCTTTTTTGTACTTATTTGTTTGTAAATTTTTGTTTAGATTTGAAAATGTTGAAAGAAGGAGGAGGAATGTAGTGAAAATGGAACTTAAATAGTCGTTCATTCAACTGCTTAAATTAAAAATAAGTCGATAGATGTATAATCTATGTATATCGATTAGGTAAAGATCTCTAAATTTTGTTGTGTAGGATGTGTTCGATACGAGGGAAAATGAATATTTTTTTAGATTTTCTTGATGACTATATTTTCTTGTGTTCGATAGATAAGCGAAAAATATTGATAGTTTGGTACTTGATCCAAGAAGTGGGTGTTAGATTGTGAAAGTGGTTTAAGACTAAAATTAGTTTGTTAATATGTTTAAGTTTTGATTTATTGTCCCAATTTGATATGTTCATTGTTGGCATTTTATTATTTTAACACAACTACTCCAACTTATCCATTTTCATGTGTGTATTTTCTATTAAGAGATAGTTCGATATATGAAATATTTTGTGTTGATTTTGAATCGAGGGAAAGATTATACTCTATAAAGGGGTATATGTGGAGTGAATAGTAGGGGTGGACATGTTGGGATATTAAAAATTTCACTAATATTATTACATTATCAAATTAATTTAGTATGATTCAGTATATATTGTAAGTTCGATTTTGATATTTTATAATTCAGTAAATTGATAATTATAGTTTGTTATATATGCAAAAATCATATAATAGAGAATTATGAATTTAACTTTTTAAGATAGATCTGAATTATATTATCCTAGTACATTAAAAATGTATAGACATTCCACAAAAAGTATGAATAATTCCCTTCATTAATCTATATTACACAATAAAATGAAATTTTAATAATACATAGTCAAATTCTCAATGTTTAAACATAATTAGTAGTATAAAAATAATATATATGAATTGTATATACTTCAATATAATATTCTTTTTATAAATATGGAATATATTACCTAATACAATTTTTTAATATAAAAAGAATCATATCAAATATTATAATAAAATATATTAATATCAAAACATTTGATTTTAGCATAATCTTTAATATTTGTCGTACCATGTTCATCCTTAATAGATAATATATCTTAATGTAATCATCAATGTTTGAAAATATTAAAATATTCTTCAATTTTTCTTTCTTTTTGAGCTTTTTTCTTTTTTTTTCAAATTTTTATTCTTTTTTTTTGAAAAAAAAAGAATCTTTTTACGACAAAGTCTTCAAATGGCTTTTACTTCCACTTGCTTGTTTACCATGCAAAAAAATCCAAAAAGAAGAAAAAAGAAAAACTTTCAACAAAAATAGTTTCTTTTTTTTATACTTTCTTTTTCTCTTTTCTTTCATTTTCTTCTTTACTCTTAATTTTGTTAAAGTTAAAAATTGATAGGAAAAGCATTTCATCATCTTGAAAATGATAATCTTTGTAGATGAATCAAACTGGTTCTCGAAAAGTGAAATATAACGACTATTTTAAAATAAAAGAGTATTTTTAGGATAATACTAAAGGGTCAATTGGCCATAAAATTAAAAAATCTATAGTATTTTCTAAATTTTAAAATAAATTGATTTTTTTCATCTTTAGTTAAAAAGTATTGAAATTAAAATATTAAAATATTTAAAAAGGTAAAATAATATAGCAAAATGCTATTTTGATCAAATTCTGGCGAGAAAGAATTTTTTCTATTTTTTAAGGGGCGTGAAAAAAATAATATGACAAGTAAAATAAATTTATGAAGAGTGTATTTATTACATAGACTTTTAGGAAAATCAATTCCCAATTTCCAATTCCCAATAATCTCTTATTAGCATTCACACATTAGACATAAGTGGGGTTTGATTAATTAACTTGGTGACCAATTAATCAATCTTGTTTTAAAATTATTGTCTCCCACAATAACTTTGCTTTTTGACTGATTTCTTTTTAATTATATTTTGATTTTTGACCATTAAAATATTATATTTGTTTGTCCATTTTGTGGCAAAGTAATGAAGGAGTAATTTATTACTTTGGTAAAGTATTTCTCTGAAATTAAAATTTAGATATTAAAAAATTATATGATTCTTTTTTTAAAAAAAGTTACAATTCTTCTCATATCAAATAGGATGAAAAATAAATAATATTAAAATGATAAAAATTTATATAATTTGATTTCAACCACATACATATTTCTTTGTCACTTCACATATATTGTTCTCCAAGGAGGCTAATATTTCACCTTATTCCATTATCGTTTCTAATCTTGTTTCTATCACGTTCATATTTCTTTGTCGCATCACATATCTTGTCTTCCCAAGAGACTACTATTTCACATTATTTCCCGTATATATATATATATATATATATATTCGTTTCTATATCTCGTCTTTTCTATATAT